ATATATGGAGAGAGAGAGAGAGACTAAAAAGTCTAGTCTTCCCTCCTACCGCCCTTACCCAGAGATGAACAAAGTGTTGAACAATTTTCACACAAAAAAATCATGTTACACAAAAACCTGGTGGCCCTGGAGCTGCCTTTCTCTCCCCCCGCCCAATTTGAACATGTAGGTAGGCAATTGCCCAAGTGTATGTGAATCTTTTGGGTTCCCTAAACAGTTGTATAGGATGCAATAGAAATGTTCAACTGTGACAGGGAACAGGCATTTTGAGAGAGTATAGATACTCAGGGCAGTTTTGTAAAATTGGAATGGGGTCATAGTGAGTGCTTTTAAAGTCTTAAACCTAAGGAAACATAAGCATTTCCTCATTTCACTAACTACTCTGTAAAAACATCCTCGAATTTGCAATGGGTTTGCTTTAGCTTATGTAAAGATTAGATGAAACCAGGAAAGGGCTTTTAAGCACACCAGCAAGAAAATGCCATAACCCAGGACAGATGAAAACCAACCTTGTGCAGGAACCAGGGCCAACAGTGGGCCACCCCATGGGTCCGCGCTCCTGTAGGTCAGCAGGTCAGCGGGGCCTGCGGAGGCCCTGGCCCATGGCAGGGTGCTTAGATGAGTGCTGAGAAAGGGACAAGAAAAAGATTCCCCAATAACGAAGTATACAGGACCAGTGAATAGACAAAAATCAGAAAAACGCTCTCGTCTGTTTGGTGGCACTTGCTGGTACAGTTCTGCACAATGTGTATTAAAGAAAGAGAAATGCAAAAGAAAGAAAGGTACAGTGGGTTGTCTGGCCAGGTTTTCTGGGGACACTGTGGGAGAAGGCTGGTGCTGTGAATGCACAGGGCCTTCTGGATGAGCTTCTGTATGGACTCCCGCCATTCCTGCACTCCCACTACACTCTAGAGGATTCTGCAAGAGCAAATCCTGGCAGCAGGGCCTTCCGGTCCTTTCAGGCCTGGGCCTTGGCTCTTAGGGACTTGAGGAGGCTACGCGGTAGAGGTGGGGCGGGTCCCATGGGCGGGGCTGTGCCGGTGAGGCGCGACCTTGTGGGCGGGGCCTCGTGAGTAGGGGCCCCTCTGTAGTTCGTGGATGTGGGCGGGACCACTGTGTGGGCGGAGCTACGTGGAGGCTGCCGCGGGAAGGGGCGGGACTGTGCGACCAGCGGGTCCCTCGGGCGGGAGGGGGGCCGGAGGCGGAGGCTGCAGGATGGCCTGAGCCGGGTGTGGGCGGGGAGATCTGGAGGGCAGGGCTCGGACAGGTTAGGGGCGCTCCACACCTCTTATCGGCCTTGCCGTGGGTCCGCGCTCCTGTAGGTCAGCGGGTCAGCGGGGCCTGCGGCGGCCCTGGCCCATGGCAGCGTCGGCAGCTCTGTCCGCGGCGGCGGCTGCGGCGGCTCTGTCGGGCCTGGTGGTGCGGCTGTCGCGCTCCGCCGCGGTGCGCGGCTCCTACAGCGCCTTCTGCAAGGGGCTCACCCGCACTCTGATCACCTTCTTCGACCTGGCCTGGCGGCTGCGCACGAACTTCCCCTACTTCTACGTGGTGGCCTCGGTGATACTCAACGTCCGCCTGCAGGTGCGGATTGAGTGAGCGCCAGCAGCGGTGGTGGCCGGGTCAGAGTCGCCTGCCCACCAGCGCCGAGCCTGGACACCTTGTGAAGGACAGCGGGGCCACCGGACGCTTTGGGGTGCAGAGTGGCCTGGGTCCCTGCTACTGTAGACACCCTCGTCTGGGGGACCGCTACCCGACCCTGGACCCCGTCAACACCTGCAAGAAAACTCACGCAATGTGTCCTTTGCGTTGGGCTCGAGAAAATTACGAGTCCAGCTGACCTGTTGCCTCACACTGGCCAAAACTGGGAAATCGGAAAGAAGGAATTTTACTGCAGCGAATTCATTTGCCAAGTCTGAGCAAAAAGGTAAGAGAAAGGGTGGGATGGGGGTGGGGTTCGGTTGCTAAGCCACATAGATGTCGGGGAACCCTAGAGGTTTGGGGCAATAGAGAGGACACCCAAACAAAACAGCCCGAAAAGATGCCAAGGCAAGCTGGGGAAAGGCAAGGCGCATCTGCTCCCCTGTTGTGATTCCTCAAGGCCTTTAGGGGCAGCCTGAGCTTCTCAGAGAGTCGGGATATCACCACGGGACAGATAAGAAGCCCCCTCCCATACACAGCGCGGATCCCCTCTCCTTTTACAGAGACTGGGGTGGTGTCACCCGAATGCTGGGGAATGGGTCAGTAAGGTCCCAGGAAGTCCCTGGAGCACAAAAGATGTGCCCACCCTTCTTCACCCATCTTAGGAGATTCATGGTAAGGATGGTTGCCTTATAGCCAAGCCCCAGGTCTGTCCCCTTTTCAGATCTCAGGATGCTGGGCCTCTGTTCATCTCCACACAGCCATTTGCAAATCTGCCTCTTTCCCTATATTTGGGGCCAAAGGACTGGTCTGTACCCTCTGCTGAAATCCCTCTTGCTCCCCTAATCCCATCTGGGGTCATTCTCATTTGCAGACCTGGAGGAGTAGGGAAAAGATGATCCTGCTTCTCCCCTTCCCCCACAGGCTTGCTCTGTGACCAACAGCTCAGACTCCCTGCAGGGCCAGCCACTGCCCTATCAGAGCCACAGAAGCCCATCCTCTAACCCAGGAAATCCACCCAGGGAATTTGGGAAAATGGAAGGATCTCCCTGAGCAGGCAGCAGCTCTCAGTCTGGGTAGGTGGGGAGGGCAGAAGGAGAAGGGGGGTTGCAGAGAAAGCTACACAGGAAACAAGGCCCTTTGTCTGTGGCCAGGCAAATCTGAGGTCTCCATCTTTTTCTTTTTCAGGCATTGGTCTTTATAGGTGCCTTCTCTGGTTTGTGAAGAGTCTGATCCCTGCCTGGAAGTGCCTCTGTTCCTGCAGCCACCTGGGAGCAACTGAGTGAAATGCCCAGGAGGAGGGGAAGGGCCTTCCTAGTAGAGGCCCAGTATTGGTAGAGGCCTTGAAGGGTGGGTGGCCCAGGGATTGGGCCCTGGCATGGGAAGGAGGGTCATGTTTCCTTGGGAACAGAGATCTCCTAGCAACACTGTGAGGGAGATATATTCTCCCCACTCATGGGGCTCCAGGGAAGGGGCTGGGATTTGCCCTTGTCACACAGGTGGGAGGGTGGAGCTGAGTCTGCTGTTGGACCTGCAATCTCCCACTCCCTCCACAGACTTCCTTAAGATCTGGCAGCCTGTGGAACAGGGAAGGAGTACAGAGCTCTGAGGCACCTAGGAGGAGAGGGATCCAGGGATAGGAAATCTGGGATATGGCTTTCCTTGGAGTGGTATGGAAGGTCCCAGGGAAGACAAAACAGTGAGCTGAGATGGGGCACAAGAGAGATGGGTCTCTGAACCCTCTCTCTGTCCCTGGACTCAGGCTCCATCCCCAGGATCACACAGGAGAATCTCATCCAGATGACCTGGGATTGACTCTGGAGATCCCAGGCATGCTGCTATTTGGGATCCCAAAATAGCCAGAAGCTGCCCAAGGGGAGTCCTCACCACCCATGCCTATTCCCTCAGCTCCTCTGGCACTGGTAGCTCAAGTCCCATGTACTGAGTTCCTGGGACCAAAACCTGCAGAAGCCTGGCCAGTCCCAGGGACAGAGTGGCCCAGCCTCCTACTGCTGCCCTTCTCAGCTCCTCACTGGATCTGGGGTCTCCAATGAAGATCTCAGTTTGCTCCACCCCAAGGATGGAGGCTTTAATATGGCTGCCATGTGTCCCTGTGGTTTCCCAAAGTCTAGGCCTGGTAGCTTCCTTCCTTGTGCCAAGTCCCTCTGGAGCCCTTCATCCTGCTGACCCTTCTCATCTTGTCTACTCAGGACCACTTCTGGAGACCTGTCAGCCTCTGACCTCATCCACAGGTCTCTGGGCCACCTCTATGGGACAAGAGACACAGGGTAGAAGAAGAAAGCAGGAGCCAAGGGGCCTCCTTGGGTCAGCTACCCAGTTTGGGCCCTTTCAAATCTTGGTCCCACCCTCTGGGTGACAGGATCCCCAGCTCCAGCCTCTTCCTCAGTCAGCCAGGAAGGAAGGAGGATGGCCCCTCACTCCTCACTGAGTGTGTGTGCATGTTTGAGTACGCATGTGTATGTGAGTGAGCCAGCAAGCTTGTGGGGGTGTGATGGAGGGGATGGAGCTGTTGAGTATGAGGAGCTGCTCTGGCTGCCCAGCCCTCTCTGCAAAGGGCTCCACTTGGGGCCTAGGAGCCCTTTTCTATAGGGAGAAAAGTAAGTGGCGCCTCAGGGCCACCCTCAGACCTCCACTCCAGGGAAACCCAACCCTGCCCAGCACCCTGGCTTGGTCTTTTGCCGCCTCTGCCAAAAGGGATTGGCCCCAGGCCCCACCCAGCCTTGTGTTCCTCCACTGTTGGGGCCTTGACCCATGAGTGAGCTTCTGCTTTCCTGCCTCCCCTCTTGCCCGCTTTCTCTCCCTCAAGGGCCCTTGCTGCGTGATGGGGTCTCCATGCACTTTATTTATTTGCAGTCTGTGTTCCAGGTGGCGGAGCTTCTACATATTCAGAGACCCAGCCTGGATGACCTTACATTTCTGTGTGATGATCTCTGCGCTGGCCAGCACAGTCTGGTCAGGGATATGTTCTTGTTTCTGATATTGTCACATGTTGTTGTCCCCCTATGTTAAAAAGAAAGTCCTTGAGTTCAGAACACTACAATACTGACTGGAGTCCTCTTTTTGCTGGGTTTGGTGCATTTGCCAAGGGCAGGTGGGGAGGAAGTTCCTAGGGTCAGGGGCTGGGGAAGCCTCAGAGGGCCAGGTCCAGGCTGTGTCAGGACCTGCTGCTTCATCAGAAGCTGCTCCAGGACCAGACTTGGCAGGACCACCGCCCTCCTCCCCGAGGAGCGAGTGGCAGCAGAGCCTGGCCCAGGAGAGGGTGGCTGGTCCCATTCACAACCTTTGTTCAAAGGACCTGAAATGAGTCTTCCATTATAGAGCTGGGGGTTCAAAGTGCTTAATGCAGCTGAACCACTAGGGTAAAGAGAAGCAGGCAGACCATCTGTAGGTTGCATTGTGTGGCCCAGAGACCCCCTCAGCAGCAGGGGAAGGACCTCACTGCATTTCTGCAAGCAGCTTGCTGGGGACACTTGGAGAAGATCAACTACCCAGGAAGCCTGCACCTGGATGCCTGCTTCCCTGCCCCCACCATAGACCTAATCTCTGTCCGGAGAGCCCCATTCCCAGAAGCTCCCCCAGAGAAGCTAGGAATTGGGGTGGGGGTGGGCAAGGCAGGAGAAGGCTGTGGGGAGTGCAGGAGGCTGGAGACAGGGCCCCAGGAGGGAGGCATCCTGGGTCAGAAGGTTTTGCTCAGGAGAGCACACTGTGGACTTTGGGACCCTGTTTGCACTCTGCCCATCATCAGGAGCTCCTCATGGCTGGGTGCAGTGGCACATGCCTGTAATTCCAGCAACTTGTGTGGCGGAGGCAGGAGGATTGTGAGTTCAAAGCCAGCCTCAGCAAAAGCTTGATAGAGTCTAGCCTGGAGCAGCCTTGTTGCTGTGAGGACGGGGCAAGAGACAGGAACTGATGTCAGGGGAGAGTGCTGTGTGCCATGCACTCTGCTAGGTACTCTGCGTTCCTAGCCTCAGCGTATCCCATACCCACCCAACCCTCCTCCCACCTGAGAGAAATCCAGGGTGGGAGCCTGTTCTGAATAGATCCCTCAGCAGAGGCTTTTTTCCTGAGCTCCCTTTCCCTACAGAGGGACAGGGAATCGGGCAGAAAGGGTGGTGGGATAGCAAAGGGGAAGGTGATCCTGCCTTTTTGGGGTGGGGTTCAGGACACAGAGAACCTGGGCTTTGGGGGAGCAGGCCTGGGGGTCATCTCAAAATGGAGCTGCCTACTGGGAGCAGCTGGGGCCACTGCCCATGTAGACCACCTGCCTTCTCCCCTTTTCCCATTTCCAGAGACTTGTTGAAAATTAAGCAACTGAGGCAGGAGAGAGGAAGAGAGCAGGAAGCAGACAGTTCCAGGAGGCAGAGAGAGCAAGGGCCTGAAGAAAAATGTGCAGGGCCCATTCCACTCCCCCCCACCCAAGGGAAGCTGCTGGGTTTGGGATGAACCGTGCTGCCTGAGCACAGGTGTGCTGGGAGGACATCCTGCTTTGGATCCTGCTCATGGCTGGGTACAGTCCTTACTGAAGTCATAGAGGTGTGCACAATGTACCAGGGGCCACTTGGAACTAAGCAAAAGAGCTGGGCTCAGGGTGGCGTGGGTGTTTTTTGCAGCTGCAGACTGAGCCTGTCTCCTTCCTCTGTAGCATGGGTGATCCCCCTTATCACCTCACGAGAACCCAGGCTCTGGTCTGAGCCTCTCCCATCTTGGTGCTCCCTGCTTATTTTTCCAAAGCTGCCTAGTAGTCCCTGTGTGGAACGAAGATATCATCGTGCATTTGCCAACATTTCTTGATTGTTTCTCTTTCTTGTGTGGGGAGTGTGTGTGTGTGTGTGTGTGTGTGTGTGTAGTTGTGGTTCATGCATTGACATATGTCATTAAGGATAGTCATGATCAATTCCTTTTTATAGATTCCTGGAAGTGGGCCAAAAGACATGCACTGTTTGGGGCATTTTTCTTTCTTAGTTTGGGTAACAGGGATTGAACTCAGGGGCACTTGACCACTGAGTCACATCTCCAGCCCTACTTTGTATTTTATTTAGAGACAGGGTCTCACTGAGTTGCTTAGCACCTCACTTTTGCTGAGGCCGACTTTGAACTTGTGATCCTCCTGCCTCAGCCTCCTGAGCTGCTGGAATTATAGGCATGTGGCACTGTACCCAGCAGTTTGGGGATTTTGATACCTCCAGCATCGGGGTTCCAAGTTACTCACTTTAGTCAGGAATGAGTTATTTGAGAGAAGGGTGACAATTCTGCATCACAACAGATTTTTTTCTTCATTTGTTACTGTCTTTCTTTGCTTCAAGTTGGGTGCATTTCTCTCTAAGACCAATATAATGTGGAATTGGACCCATCACTTTCCTGAAACTAGTCCTTTCCTATCATCTCCAATTTATGCCTAGGATTACCTGTTCCTAGGATTCACATCAGATTTGTAAATCTCTCAATTTCATATGTTAAAATAGTTTATTTGGACATTTTGCCGTGCATTCCTTGGAATACCTGATCAGGATGAGATACTTCCATAAGCCTTTGGCCATCTGTGCTTCTCTTTGCAGCTCTGGGGCGTCACTTGTTTTTTAAAGGAAATGAGATTTGCCTTTCATCATTGTGTGATGGGAAATGACTTTGCATCAGGACTGAGCTTGAACTCAGTCTGTATAAAACCCTCACCCATTCCTCCCCTCCCTCTTTTGCTAGTATTTAAAAAATATGGCCAATCTCAAAAGTGAAAGCAGAAATCTTAAGGATCAGAAGTGGCAGGAATGTAGGCAGCAGGTGGGGCCTGGAGCTACACAGCCCTTGGAGGCAGAACAGGTCTGAGAAGCTAGGAAAGCTCACTCTGTAGGTAGGAGCCAGAACTAGGTACTTGGTGTGGCCCTGCCAGGTGAAAAGTGCTGTCTGCCTTGAATGGGAACCAGGATTTCTTGACCTGCCCACCTGGGGTGTCTTGAAAGTAAATCCCCTGCCCAAACAATGGGTTGAAACAGCCACCATTAAGACTCTTAATCCTCAGGTCTGCCCTGTGCTTGGTGCAGGGTCTGGATTTTCCATGAGAAAATACCCATGCTGAGAGTTGAATAAAATACAGATGCACTCAAAATATTCTCCTAGGCCCATTTCTGTGAAACTGAAGCATATTTAAGGCAAAGGGAAGAGCCTAAAAGCTACTAGAGAGGAGAAACACATTATTATTATTATAAAACAAAAAAAAAGCATAACAGCCATATTGACACTGAATATCATCCCCAACCCCCAGTGCCATAAGACAATGTATCAGTGAGGAGTCAGAGGCAGCACAGAAGCCACAGTCAGTAGCCATCCTAAACCAAACTTCAATTCAACCAGGGACCAGGTGCTTGCAAACTTATTTCAAGGGCTGAAAGAGTCCAAAACAGCCCTGGACACCACAACAGAACTGGTCCCCCAAGGACAAAAACACCAGTCCCCAGTCAGGGTGCTAGGAAATCAGGAAGCTTGCCTTGGAGCTATTGACTTCAAGAACACACCCCTGAGCTATAGCTGAGAGGCAGAGATCAGAAGGCTGCTGCCACCACCACAGTAAACATTTGTGTGTGTATGGGGGGGGGGTGTGTGTGCTGGGGGTTGAATCCAGCGTTTTGTGCACATGAGGCAAGCATTCTACCAACTGAGTTATATCCCCAGCCCTACTACCAACTTTTTGACACTCATAAAGTCAGTAACTAGACAAAGGACACTGCAGAAAACAAATACATAGGCTGTATGATCAGACTCACCACCACAAGAGTTGACAAAGCAGGAAGATGGCCACTTATTGGCCCACCAGGAGTCTCACTCAAGTGCACCTAACTGGTGGGATCTAATTCACATCCTGGGCAAGCCAGCACATACAGATTTTTACTTTTCTGACTATGCAGTAGAGCAAGGTACATTAGGAGATTGGGACATGTATTGAATCTCAATTCACCACATGTGTCCCAAGCAATGTCTTCAAAATGTTGAGAGAAAACTTCTGTTGGCTTAGAATTTATGCATGAATTTAGAATCAATACATTCTGACACACAGGAGATGTAGAAATGTACTATTTATCAAATCTTTTTTTTTTAAATGCCCATCTGTTGGCCTCATGTGCAGACAGTTGCACTAGGCCTGAATATCAACATACTTAATGTCAGGGGTATTTATCAAATCTTGCTCAAAGAATTACCAAAGAGTGTGTGTTAGCAAGAAGATGTGGATATCAAGAAACAATAGCAAGTACATAGTTGTTAATGGGCTTAAAAACCTCAATATGTATTGATGATGAAGGAAAGAAGGTAAAGGAGAAAAAAATAACAATATTTTTGGGGAGCTTACTTTGTGTCAGGCACCGCTCTAAGCACATTACATAGACTAATGCAATACTCACAAGGGTCCCAAAACAAATTCATATTATCTCTCTTTATGAAGATGGGGTAACTGGGGCTCAGAGAGGCTAATAGCCTGCCCAAGGTCACAGCTGTGGTGGAGTGAGGATTTGAGACCTTGCAGTTTTCCTTATAGTCCTGTAGCTCCAAGAGCCTGGTGCTGGAATCAACTTTTTGAAAGAGCTCATGGTATCACATGGCACATGAACATGTGAAACAGAGAGAATTTTGTAAAGGGACACAGAGACCCAGAATGAGCTGGCTCACTCTGTTATAGCAACCCACTCCAAGGGAACTAATCCTCTCCTGTGAGACCTAACCCACTCCTTGAGATCAGCATTAATCCCTTCATGAGGGTGGTCCTGACCCAGTTACCTCTCCTCAGGCCACACCTATTAAAGGGCCCACTATCTACTAATACCATTTTATGGGGACCAAGCTTTCAACATATGAACCTTTGGGGTACATACAACATCTAAAGCATGGCAGAGCTCTCCCGAACACTGGAGCCACATGATCTTGTTGTGGCAGGCCCTGTATTTGCTTAACATTTCTTTCCTGTCTACAGAAAATTTTCTAACAAAGCCTATGAACTTCATGCTCCCCAATCCTAGAACCATAAAGACATCCATTTAGGGACACCAGTGTGACACA